TGCCTAAAGAGGCCACAATTGAATCAGCCTGCGTGCAAGAACAGACAGGTTCCGCATCACTCACAGCCAAATGAAAGCTTGAACGAGAGGATCAGCTCCTAAACAGCAAGCTTCTTAGTTCACTTGAAGCAAAACACAGGTCAAGCTCCTTCGTCATGGGGGGGGGGGGGTGTTGTGGAATTCAACTGCGACGTGAAATCCATGCTCCCTCGGAAATTAGTGAGAAGCTGGAGGCACATGGTGTCCCTCGGTTTGAAATTGTTGACTTGTGAATCTGGACCATTGCTGTCAGGTTGTATGTGAGGCCAGGGTGGGCCCTGAAGTGTGACTTGGGTATGAGTCAAAATTAAGCCACCAGAGGACCGCAGGTTTTAGTCCATGTTTCCATTTACCATGCATGGTTCCATTTTGGGCACCTATTTTTGACCCACAGCCACTTGAGTATTTACAGTGTCACAAGTCTGATTCTATCTTTCATTGGTTCTATTTAGCTCGTTTACGCCATGTTCAAAGCCACTGCCTGGGCAGTCACCTTCTTCCCACGGCCAGTCGGAAGTTTTTGCTTTCAGCAGGTGCCACGGCCCCACTACCCCCCACCCACCTGAAGCCGTGGGTTGAAGCCACTCCTGGGTTTGACAAGAGGGCTAAAACGAAGGGATACAAATTTGCACAAGGATCTACAAAGGACTCAGGATTCATTGTGCCGGACCGAGGCAGTGGCTCTCATGGTGATGCAAGGGACTGAGGGCCCTGGGCTCGTGTTATAGATACGCCAACCTGAATTGCAAAGCAGGCTATGGCTTTGAGGAATTTCTGGAAGGATGTTGTTGGACATGAAATCGACCTATGAGGAATTTCTGGAAGGGTCAGAGTCGTTGCAGGACGTCATGGGGGCAGCTTCCAAGTTTGTGCTGCTGGCGCCGAACACGCTCAACTCGGAGTCAATGACCAGCCCTCAGAACGAGTCGATAGTCGGTGAATTCCGCCATGGGCGATGGGCACAGGTCAATAGGTATCCTTGTTCAAAGGCAACATGCCATGAAGCATTTCGAGGGGGACCACTGTTGAGTTCGGCGCACTGCCAAGTTGCCATTTTGTTAGAACTGGGCCCATGACAGTGGGTTCCAGAAGTAAATCACGGTCCAACGTGGCAATGTTCGCCATATTCTTGCAATCCGGCCATGAATAGGGCCAACAGCAAAAGGTTCAGAGACTTCCGAGGCTTTCTTATCCATGCCCAAGCCCACTTTGGAATCTGGTTTTTTGCCACTGCAATCGCCGGCTGGGGCTTGTGGTAGAAACGGCAATCCTATGCAAGATTTGATTTTCGGGCCATGTGCGTAGCAACAAGCACCACAGTGCGCCAAGAGTCTGATCCGAAAACCAGGCGCCCTGCCTTGGTGGTTCCGGGCATGCAGCATGCCAGGAGCATCGTGGCAGAGGCGCCGGCCCTGCAACCCGTGGTGCACCTCGGAGGCGGGGCTTCTCCAGGCGGCTTCCCGGGCCCGGAGCGCTTCAAGAATTGAGGCACCTCAGGTTGGAAACGGGATCGATAACCTACTAGGTCCCGACCCCTTGTTTTTGGGGGGAGGGTTCCCTACTAAAATATAGACTAGAAAAAAAGGGTACCCTTATTCTAACCTCTCTACTGGAGGACCTAGCCCATGCAGTGAACGGACCATTGATCATTCGCAGGTCCATGCCTGTGATTGCAGATATTTGCCATGGCTTGCAAGAGGGATGGAACTAGCGAGGAACTAGAGAGGCGGAAGCCCGTTTTTTTACAACTCGGGTCACTTGGAAAGTTCTACTCGGGTCGTCACTATAGTCATGGCTCATTTCGGGATGAACTTTTAAGTGGTGGGCATGAACTGGAGAGCACAGACGGAACTGGAGTCGAATGAAGGAACCCTGGTTTACTACTCAGTGCCATGCCAGGTTCTCGGACTGCTCGACAGGAAACGGCACCATAGGGGGAACATCCCAGTCGCAGCGTTTACCATGCCTAGACAACACTCCAACTGGGACATGCATGTGAAGCGTGAAAAGGGAATGCACCATTTGGAGAGGGCCCCTATTTTGACACCCCATTTGGAGAGTGACTTTGGACGAGCCTTGGTCTCCGAGTGGCAGGCCACAGCGACTCGCTGCGTGCGGGCTTCTTTGAGCATGCGCTGCAGCTGCTGTGCGAGGTGCCGCATGTTGGGCGAAATGGGCCCAAATGAGACCCTGGTGCCCCTCAAACAAGAAACACCGAAAGCGTGTTGTTTAATCATTGGTTGAATCGTGTTGCTTAAACATTGGTTGAAACATGTTTAAACAATGGGGCGGCCCAATCCTGTTCCAGCCTGTTCATCCCTTGGCTTACAAGCTCGGTCTGCATCCAAGCTTCATGTTGTTGCAGGCTTCCATGCTCATCCATGAAGGATGTGTTTGTTGCGGAGAAGTAGACATATGCTTTGATCTGCTGGCACCATCGCCAGCAACGTCAGCGCAAGCAACGCAAGGTCCCACATCCGCGCGACTTGTTGGTCTAGATTTGGCATAGGACTTTTGGTGGCCATCATTTATATGGGACTACATGCCTAAAGTAGCGGTCTTCGGCCTTGGATGCGCATGGGCAGGCCTCCAACATTGCCCCTGTTCAGATCGGCCGTTATGCCGGAACAGATTTGAGATAGGCAACTGATCGTAGCTGTTCCCTTTGCCGACGAGCGCCGCGGCTAGTGTCCCTCTTCGAAGGTTGTTGCCTCAAGTCTTTGAAGCTTCTGTCCTGCGAGAGTCTTCTCCCCACTGCCCTTCCCGATACCGCCAGGGCCGCTTGGATCGCCACTCCAAGCAGCTGCAGGAGGCATACATCGCCCAGCTCTGGCAGCACGCAGAACAGCCCGGAGAGGCGCGGACGACAGACGTGCAGGGCGCGTGTCTCACAGCTTTCTGGTGAAATGGAGCTTGCACTTGGTGGTGTAACCTTTCTCTAGTCCTGTTAGGGTCAATAAAAGCGCAGGTGTTTGAGTGCATTGGAAAGGTAAGGTCTAGACCTTACCTGGATGTAACATGTTTGATTGGATCTATGATGAACCTTTTCTGGGGCGATCTCCAAGAAGCAAAGCATGCAGACATGCCAAGCTTTGCCGCCGGTTTGGTGGCATACTTCACCGCGGATTCCGCATGTTCCAAGGCTGAGGCGTCGAATGTGTGATGATTGGAGCAACAAGTCCTAGTTGCTTCTTGTGTGTTGGGCGGGCTTTTGATCACGTTCCTGCTCTCTTTCCTCGTTTGTAGCCAATCATTCTTTCATGTTGAATGATGACCCAATGTCAGCGCAGTCTGGCAGTCTGGGGGGTCGACCAAAGCAGCTGAACACAACATGAATTGGCCCCCAATCTAAGGCATGCCTTTGATCACCTGGTCACCAGGAGGATGCACGTCACTGCATATTGAAGTCAGACCCAGTTTTGCTCTTCGCATGCTTGAAACTCTTGCTTCGCAGATGTTTTCTTCCCATTCCTTGGCTTTAAATGGACATGGTGACTGGGAAACTTAGGACGTCAGTGAAGTGACTAGACATGGCGAAGCCGTAGGAAACAGTTTCATCCTAGTGAAACTGGGAAACATGGTCGCCGCATTTTCACTAGGACATGTGGAGATGTTGGAAGTTAGGAAACTTTGATTTAGTGAAAGCAAAAGACACACCTGCTTTTTTTTAACAACCAGGAACCAATTCGGCAAACTTAGGGATCCCAACGGTTAGCAAGTTGGGCAGGTTGCAGTTTGCTAGTTTCAGTTTGCATATTCAGTGACGAGCAAACTTCGGTTCTTGTGTTTGAAGATTGTCGGAAGCCCCCTCCGTCCCCCCCGATTTTGTTTGAAACCACAGGGGGAGCATCCTGAAATTAGCGACCAATTTATCAGGGACCCCCTTTGCCATGGACAATTCAAGTATTCTTTGAAATCCAAGAACCCTATTTATTTTTATTTTTTTGTTAAACAAATGGAACAACAACAACACATGATGGAACAACAACAACTCATGAAGGATGTTGCACAAAAACATCGACCCGGCGTCTCCACCGACCGGATCCCCCGCCCGGCGTCTCCACCGTCGTTGAGTGCCGAGGGCCTGAGCTCCGGGCACCTGCATGCCTCCACCGCCATGGGCACCTTCCAGCGCCTGGCTTGGCACCTGGAGGCGGGTTGGCAGGGATCGAACCCGGTGAGGTGGGGTGGTGGTGGTGGTGGTGGTGGTGGGATTGGGGTGCCGGGGTGGGATGCTGGGGTGGGGGGCGGGGGGTTTAAGAACTCTTTGACAAAGCCCTTGCCACAGGATTGGGGGCTGAATTCATGGTGTGGGATGTTTTGCTTGGGAAGTCTTTGGATTGGGATTGTCCTTCTCATTCAAAGCAGCTGACATGAGCAGGGATGGGCTGGCAGATCCCACAGTTGTCGCTAACTCGCTTTTTCAGTCTCCCAACAAGTTTGCTGGGTCCATAATTGTCCTACCAAAAAGAAACCCATATGGATGGCAAATTGTTTCATTTGGTCAGACCACCATTTGGATGGATGAACCCCTCTGAATACTGGCTGATAAATCACCAGCCGGTGCGAACCGGATCTCGTCCGTCAGTAGGGCCAACCATTGCCCCGCACACCCACCCAGAGTGGTTCTCAGACTTGTTCCATCAATTCTTCCAAGAAATCAGAGCCTTTCCTGACTGGTGGGTGGGGGGCTGGGGGGCCTTTGCTTGTTTTAAGTACACTCTCTCAGACTACCATGGAAGCTCGCAGAAGCCCTCTTTAAATGGAACTATGCCTTTCAAAGGGGTGCTGGCAGCTTCCATGTTAGCCAGGGGGAGGATCCCGCGCCCGAGAGCGAGAGATCTGAGGCGCAGAACCGGCAGGAGGAGGCCCTGGCGGTGCAGCAGAAGGCCTTGGCCTTTGCCCGGCCCTTCGGTCGCAGCTGGGAATTTGGTCTCTGAACTCTGGGTAGGTCCCCCAGCTGGGTGCCCTTCTTAACCCGTGTTTTTTTTGGTTGGGAGGGTTCAACCCTACTAAAATAGACTACAGCAAAAAGTAGGTACCCTTTTATTCTAACCTCTCTACTCGCTGGGTAGGGGTGAACAGGGATTCAATGATCGGTTCAATGATCAGCTTCCTATAGCTGGGTAAGGTCACAGACCTACGATACTTTGCCACTTTGGTATCACAAAAAGGGTGACTTGTCCACAAACATAATCAATTGGGCGTGAGTTGGGATAAGTTTTGCGTGGCCAACATGGATTGCATATGCGTATGTATGTGTATCAGGACAGGTCCTGAGACACATCCTGAATCTTGGCATGCACGCAGGGCGAGTCCACGATCCCAGGAGGATCAGTCCCAGGACGCGTCCGTGAAATCCAAAAGCCATGCACAGGATTGCGTTTTATGGCGGTACCCCTGTAGCAAAGGATTTGGAGCAGAGAGAAGAGGCGTCGGCGGATGAGCAAAACCAAGGGTCTGGTGCTCATGTTGTTTCGGTATGGGTCTTTGTGGTGCTTCCTTCCTGGAGCTACAGCAGCTGAGAAAGCTGCACCGGCATGAGTGGGGTCAGGGCTAAAACATGGTGCACACAGCACCTTTGGCGAATCAAAATGCTGAAATACGGCCTAAATGATATGGTTGGCTGGCCAAGGGTGGGCTTTGAAGTTGATTTGACGGTGTTTTCGGGGGTTGGGATTGGCTCACAAAACCTTCGTTACTTCAAAAGTAGTTTTAAGCGGGTTTGGATTGGGCTTAATTTGTCATAGCAAACACGATAACAGTTGCACTGGCTCAGCAGGGCCCACTTTCCAGATGTTCATTCGCACACCCACAATAAAGTCACAATCAACCAATCAGAAACTGCACAAAACCACAGGGATTCCCCCAAATGCTGTTATCTGGAAAGGATGGGATGATTATTGGCATAGTATCAGATCCTGATAAATGCATTTGGGAACAGGTAATCATAATAGCAATGACGATTCAAATTCAATGACAGAGTCTGACAGAGAGAGAGAGAGAGAGTGAGAGAGTACATGAGGATGAAAGTAAGAAATGCGTACGTAGTAGCAGCACCATGTTCTCCATAAAAGGTAAGAAGATAGCAATTGATAGCTCCTGAAGAAAGAACATGAACATGTGCTACATCATAACATGTATCTAGAAGTCCTAGATCCACAGCATCATGTGTAGTCAAGAGATATGCAAAACACTAGTTCAAATATGACAATGATAATCAACAACCAACAACATATGAGTAACAATGATAATAATGATACTCATGATACTCATGATAATCAGGATAATCATGATAAAACAATAATGATGATGCTAATGATAATGTAACTCCTGAAGCGTGCTCAGCATGCTGAGAAACTCCCACCAACAGATTCAACAATTTTGAGCTAAGGGTTGGATTTGTAGACGACTGTGTCAAATTCGTCGGCGTTGTTGCAATTGTCCTGGTCCTCTGCACGCCGCAGGCTAGTTGTTGAAGTTTGGCAACTCTCACAAGGATCATTTTTCTGAGGACATCTCAAGCCTCCCAACACTAAACAAGTTTTGCATATCAGATGGTGCCTCTAGCTTGTTTGCACTTGCACGGCGTTCATGGCCAGCAAATGCCAAATCCACATTTGCGGTGGGCGGGCTGCTCATTCAATTCGAGTGAGAGATGACAATTGACCACACACTTTGCAAAAGCTCACAAAAAGTCTGCCCTCTTTTCTTTCTTTCTTTTTTCCGAGGGTACCTTTTCATTGGTGGGTTTTAAAGGAAAGCCAAAAGGCAAACCCACCAATTTGCCCCCCCCCAAAAAAATAAAGAGGATCCAGTCTTCCGTTTTTTGGGTCGGGTCTTCGGCCTCAGGCAGCGGTTTGGGCGGCACCACCAGCAAGCGACCCTGGCGCAGGTGGCCGGGAGCCTCAGACTCGGCCGTCGGTGGTTTTTTGTTTCTTGTTTTCTTTGGCGCTTCCGTTGGTTCAAGGAAAAAAGGGGAAAAGTCAGTTGTGTTTTTGTTTTTTTGGGGGGGGGGTTCAAAGAGGGAAACCGCCATTTTCGGGGAAGGCGTGCTTTTTGGCGGGGTAGTTGGGTATTTGTCTTGCTCGTTCTCAGCAAAGGAGAGAACGAGCCAAACTGAGCCATCCCTTGTGGTTTCCTAGCAAGCCACAGACCCTTCCCACCAAACCACAAGGAAACCACCATTGTGGATGGCTATTCTTCAGGTCAGGTGGACAATCTACAAACCTTTGCTGGGTGTTTGTGAGGGGTATGTTTGCCTCGGTTTCAACGAGAAAGGGCAACCAATGGACGTTTCCTGCAATGTTTCTCGATTGTCGCTTTTCATGGGCTGAGTGGCCAAATCCAGCCTTTTCCCAGTAGGTTCAACATAGTTATTTGCTAGATGATTTTTTCAGAGCAAGACATCAGCCAGCTTTCAAGCTTTCTGCACATGTTGTTTCGGTCCTTTGGTGAGCT